AAAGAGCATAAAAAAAGAAAATTTTTCGCGCAAACCGGAAGTCATTATCTCAAATCGTTTCAAAATGGCGGCCGGTCAAAGTTCCAAATGGCCGAAAATTGGCACCTCTGCTATTTGCACATGGATTTGCTTGAAACTCGGTATCTGGGGGTATTTTGGCACGAGAAAAACGAATTTAACGTTAGATTTTCAAAAAAACCCTAATTTTTCAAAATGGCGACCGGTTTAGGCTCAAAAAGGCCGAAAATTTGACAAACTCGATTTTTTTGCCAATGGATTCACCTGAAATTCGGTATCTGGGGGTATTTTGACCCGAGAATAACGAATTCAACGTTAGATTTTTAAAAAAAACCCTAATTTTTCAAAATGGCCGCCGATTAAAGTTCAAAATGGTCAACAATTGGCAACCTCGACTTTTTGCCGATAGATTCGCCTCAAACTCGGTGTTTGAGGGTATCTGGGTGGGAGACAAACGAATTCGACGTTATTTCACCGAGTTTCAGGCGAATCTATTGGCAAAAAGTCGAGGTTGCCAATTGTTGACCATTTTGAACTTTAATCGGCGGCCATTTTGAAAAATTAGGGTTTTTTTAAAAATCTAACGTTGAATTCGTTATTCTCGGGTCAAAATACCCCCAGATACCGAATTTCAGGTGAATCTATTGGCAAAAAAATCGAGTTTGTCAAATTTTCGGCCTTTTTGAGCCTAAACCGGTCGCCATTTTGAAAAATTAGGGTTTTTTTGAAAATCTAACGTTAAATTCGTTTTTCTCGTGCCAAAATACCCCCAGATACCGAGTTTCAAGCAAATCCATGTGCAAATAGCAGAGGTGCCAATTTTCGGCCATTTGGAACTTTGACCGGCCGCCATTTTGAAACGATTTGAGATAATGACTTCCGGTTTGCGCGAAAAATTTTCTTTTTTTATGCTCTTTCGAACGAGGTATCACAAAAGGGGTCTTCCCATTTGAAAATTAAAAGTTAGGGTCCGTAACCCCCCCAAAATGGGGCCTCCCAAAATTTTGGAGGGGGGTCAAAAAGTAGCTCCCTTTGATCTAGGAACACCCTCCAAGTTTCAAATCTCTACCTCAATTAGGTCAAAAGTTAGAGGGGGGGGGAGGGGACTTTTCGAACACCCTGTACGTGATTTAGATAGTCGTTTATAATTAAAATTTAAATCGTATCTGCAAAATATTAATTCATTTTTGAGAAAAATTATTCGTAAATTAGATGACTATGATGACTCAGTCTAAAATATACAACAAGGTAGTTAAAGTGTCACTCTATTATAAAGTCGATACTAAAAATAATCATTCTTCTTGATACGCTAAAATGAAAGTCTTTACGATAGTTCATCTCAAATGAATTCGTTTGATCTGATTGTGTGATATTTTCCAGCCACATCCTAAAGTTTCAGCTTATCCGCGATTTTCGAATGTCCACGATTTCTGATTATCCGCGGCTACCCCTGCCCTGATCACCGCGGATAATCGAGACTCTACTGTAAAATCGTTACTAATAATCATAATCCTTTATATTACACTAAAATGAAAGTTCTTACGATGAATTTCAAATAAATTCCTGCCCTATTCACAATGGATAATTCGAGGCTCTACTGTAAAATCATGACTTAAAATAATAATCTTTCATAAGAAGCTAAAATGAAAGTTTTTATGATAAATTTCAAATAAATTTGTGGTCATCGTGTGATCTTTTCCGGCCACGTTGTGTATTTTCGGCTTATCCGCAATTTTCGAGCATTCGCGGAAGCACCTGCCCTAATCACCGCGGATAATCGAGACTCTTCTGTAAAATCGTTACTGATAATAATAATCCCTCATAATAAGCTAGAACGAAAGTTTTTACGATTAATTTCAAATAAATTTGTTGTCATCGTGTGATCTTTCCAGCCACGTTGTATAGTTTCGGTATCTATCCGCATTTTTCGATAATGGAGACAGTCAATAGTAATGATTATACCCCTTCTTAATCCGCTAAAATGAAAGTTTTTAAGATGAATTTCAATTAAATCGGTTTTTATCATGTACTCTTTTCCCGTCATAATGTATAGTTTATATTGTTTTGTATAGTAGCTTATCCGCGATAACACCTGCCCCAATCGCATTGCATAATCGCGGAAACTTCACCGCAGAAGACCGAAGGACAGCTCCGTGAATATAAATGACATTTCGGTGTAGAAATCCCGAGGCGTCCCGCTGGATCGGTTCGTTTCGGTTCGTGCAGCCTGCGAGCTGCGTCTCAATTAAAGCAAAGCTATTCTGCCGTGCTAAGGAGAAACGCCGTATAAACCTTCAGGCGTTGCCAAATTTCCGTTGACAAATCGCTAATTTGTAGGAACATTTCTGAATATTTTTCTGTCAATTTTTCAGATAATTTTGTTCGTAATTTGATCTAAATTGTCAGAAAATTTCAAGGAAAAATATTCATAACTTTCCTTAAAAATAAATATTTTATGTGGGGAAATTTGGCAACTCTGGGGTGTTCATACGGCGTTCTTCCTCAGCACGGCAGTATTCCTCCGCGGATAATCACGCAGAACGGGAGTAGTTAAGATACGGTGAGCCTAGACCGGACGGGGCGCAAAAGGGCGCAAGGGTGAGGGTGGCGAGGGAGGGGCGCGACCGCCGACCGTGACGCTTGTCAGACGAGCGGAGGGAGGGGCGCGGGGCGGGGGGCGCGCCACCCCTAGAACAGACGAGAGTGAGAGTCTCTCGAACGGGGACCCCCAAACTTCGGCCTAGTTTCCCTCGACTCCGACTCAGCTAATTGTAAGTTTGATAAATAACCGAAAGAATTTACGCCGCTCTCGCCTCCCCACCCCTTTCGCGCCCCCGCCGCCGCCGCCCGGCCGAGGGAGGGAGGCTGAGGAAAAACAACGACATTATCACCAGCCAACTGTGTTGATTTACTGTTGCGACGCACCTTCGCCCTCCACCCCCGTCTCCGTCTCCTTTAACGTTCCGCGGGTGTCAGACTGTCTTGGAATATGAAATGGTAACATCAGGGACGCTCGCTAACCTGACTGCATTTTGCAATTGAATCGGGGCGTGGGAAAACCGCTGATGTCCATTTTTCAAGTCTCAAGTTTTTTTGAGTTCATCATACTTTTAAAGAGTTGATACAACTATAAAAGTGATGAAAAGACTAGTTTTGGGGTTGAGGAAACCTGAAGATGAGTTTGAACGCATTTTTCGTGGTTGCAACGAACTCCGAAAAGTATTATGAACTCGAATAAACTTAAGACTGGAAAAATGGACATTCGCGGTTTTCGCATGTCCCGATTTAATTCAGAACTATAATGTCTTGCTTATCCGTAAACACACTTATGTGCATAGGGAAACTAAATAATGGTACACATATTGTTTCTGGACTGAGCCAAAAATGAAGGTTTCGAATTACAAAATGTAGTCCAAATATGAATCGGGCAAAGGGCCGTTCATCGTGGTGATTAGTCACCATTTCTGGCGTGGTCAAATCGGCGTGCGATGTATCACATGAAGTATGTTAAAAATATTGGCAGGTTCTGATTTTTTAGCCAAAAAAGGACGGCAGCCCATACATATGGGTCTAAAAATCATTAAAAAAAAAATTTGAAAATTCAGGGGAATAAAAGCGGAATCCTATCTTGAAAAGAAAAAAAACCATGCATTTGATGCAGGAATCGATAACTTTAGGACAAAAAATCTTGAGGAATCATCATCACTTCAAAAACGTACCGCCCTGGAGGACATTAGGGTGTGAATCTGATTTTCAGGGGAGAAGGGGAAGTACAAGGCTTCGTCATGTAACGCTGAAATCGGCACCGATATATCGAAAATTATCGACGAAGGGACGACAGGCGGGTCTGCTTTTTAGTAGATTCCGCTCTTCATAAGCAGCTTATTTACCGTTTCATTATCTTATGATCATATTAAAGTCAACTCCAATTTTAGGAAGTTCAGAGGAGGCAGCGATTTATTTTTCTTTCCTACACAGGTAAAATAAAAGGGTTTTCTGGGGAGGGGGCGGAGCCGCAGCATCACATTGAATAAATGTAAAAGAAATATCAAATAAATTACTCATATACCGAAAGCTGCATCGACCAAATTCAGCGTTTACGACTTGGCAACCGTAAGAAACTCCTTGTTTAATACACTCCCTAAAATCCCTTTCCGAGACTCGCCGAAAGCGGTTAAATCCTTTTAAACGCCTCCAACAACCCGATAAATGAGCCCCACGGTTTTTTTTTAAAAAAAATTCTTTTTCCCTCTCTTATCTGAGAGAGTAAATGAACGGAGAACAGTGAGGTGGATAAACAGATGATTAACCACTAATTTACACCGTTTAGCAAATCAACAATTTTGTATTTTGGAACTTTCAGGTTTATTATTTGAAAATGTATTTATCATGCTCCTAAATCATAATTTATATTTTATCGTCCACATCTAAAGCTATATAAAACCTGCAACGCTACAAATTGAAATTCATCTATTTTTTGTAGCCATACCGATCGGCTTTTTTGGTTGAGATCCAAACCTCAACACGTTTGGTTCAGGGCAGATAAGGCAAAAAGCACAAATATGCCATTATTTTATTCCTTTGTACAAGTTTTAATTAAGGAAAAAACTCTGATAAAAGATTAAAAAAAAAAAAAAATTCAGAAAGTTTGTAGCATCCTGTTTGTTTTAAATGCTAAGAGCAGAGAATGATAAATGCTCATATTTTCACGTTCGTATTCATGCAAGTGCGGGTCAATGCACATTTTATTTCGATTCTTTGTCTGGGCGTCTCATCTTTTTCTTCGATTTCAGTCGAGTTATTTCCTCATTTCCTCTTGAGAGGGTGGTGTAATCGGCCTCAAAGCAACAGGAAAACCGAAATTGGATTTCCTCCGTTTCTAATCACGATCTCAAAACAGAGGAGGAAAAACCGCACGCAGCTTTACATGCTCTCGCTCCCAAATTGGCATCATGTTTTTTAATGCAAACTTTTTTTCACAGGACCTGCTATTATCTACTCCCCGAGTCCGTCTGTCGCGGATTCCTTGGACAAGGGTAAAAACTTTTTCTCTCCCTCTACAACACGGTTTTTAAACACGCCTGCATCTGGAATCCACTTTGAATTTTCACACAGCTCGTTTCAATTTTTAACGAAACACGGATAGAAAAACTCTTGAACCCATGGGTAGAGAGGTAACACTACCTGACTTTAGATCGAGAGCCACCCGCAACACTCCCTGCATCCCCCCTCAACCCTTCTACCCTTCTCGCTCCGTAAAATGCATGACCAACTTACAAAGCCCCCGGGCACCGAATAAAGTAGTACTTTTTTGCCGTCACTCTCTGTTTGTTTAGGCATACCGTCGTAGAGACGGAAAATCCCTGCAACTCCCTTGCGCACCCAATTCCAACCATTTCACCACACATCTTGAACTTTCTTAGTGTTTTCGGCACTTGTTTCATTCTAGGTCCCTCAGTCTCTTGTTTGCAGCCCGTAAAAGATCCGAAGGCACGATTTCTACGATATTCTTTAATTTGTCTAATTGAGTTTTCAGGTTTTATATCAAATGTGCTCAGTAAATATTTACACAAAAAATATAATTTAAAGATATGTAAACTATTTTTAAAGTAATAGTGCTAAATTTATGTATTCAAATATGTGCTTGATAAATATTTTAAAAAAAAGATTTCGTATCAAGACACTGAGAGGAAAATTCTCCTCGTCTCTTTAAAATCCGTTACTTGTTCTTGGCACAGTGCATATATAAAGAATAAAAAAGTGATTGATCGTGTGGAAAACAAATAACTCTCAGTGCAGTTGAACTCTCTTACAATTGAATTGATTTAATTCACAATTCAACCGTAAGTATCTGATAATTTCAAAGAAAAATACTCAACTTTCATTGGAAAAAAGAAGAAGAAAAAAGAAAAAAAAAAATCATGGTGGAAATTCGGCAATATTTGAATGTTCATACACGGTATGTTTTTCCCGAGCACGGCAGAATGGAACGAGTCTCTCTTCGCCAGTCGGGCCTAACCTAAACTCTGTCACACCGAAAAGGACGAGCGTGAGTTAGGAAAGTGAGTTCACTTGTTCAGCGTTCAGCCAAGACACGTAACTTTCAGTCGGAGACAAAGATAAATGAAAACCTCACAACATTGATTCATTAATCACATTTTTATAATTTCATCCCTTTCGGTTCGGGTGCGTTTCCCCACGGTCTCGTCGTATTTGACAGATTGTCTCGCGTCCGAAACGCTGTTTTATTGCTACGCGCGAGTGTAACGAGATCGTATTTCGTGAACGAGCGGGCTCGGTCATGCTGGCTACACCATTTTAATCGTTTAATTGACATTCACAGTTGAAAAGGTCCCTGCTTCGGTTACTTTGGGTTAAAACGATTTTGGTTTTATAAAAAACAAAGGGAAAACGATTTGGTTCATCGACAAAATTTTTTATTGAATCAATCGACTTTTTAGGGTACCTACTTTAAGACCTTTTAGGATAAAGAGACCGTCCTGCTGACCTAATTTATTCACGTTTTTCCTTCTGCCGATTATCGGTCGCGATTTGCGAGTGGCCAGCGAGCTGATTGTTAAAATTGTTAGACAAAGCGACAGACAAAGGAGACCCAAAGAATATGGAGCGATCCTATTGGTTGAAATGTGTGGTTCTTTTGGACCCACGGAAAAAATGGACAATCTGCAAGATCTCTCGTGGGTTGCCGTAGGTTAGTCTAATACCTACCTCCTGTGTCCATTGCAATTACCCGCTTATACCAATAGAATCCCTGCATATCCTTTTTATCTCCTTTGTCTATAGCTTTGTCTACCGATTTCAACGATCAGCCTGCAGCGCTTTGAAACGCGTTTGGAATCTTTGGCTTCGATCTCAGCATTTCGGGCCTAGTTTTTACGAGTTTGGAGTTTTTCAACCAAAAGATTCGGTTAATTTAAGCAATTATTGCATGTTTTGATGGTTCCGTTTGTCTTTTTTTCACTATAACAGTTTCACTGGATATTCACTATAGTTTCAAAGGATACGTAAATAACTTAGTCAAAGACAGGGGAGACGTCATCGGGCTTCGTTTCATGACTTTTCTGTCGAATCCGTGTAACACAACCTTGTTAGCACGGAGCGCAGCATTGCGAGTTCACGCCTCGCGCTCCTAGCGCCTTCAATTTTGCAGACGCAACACAGACATCTATCACGTACGAATAGTTGTATCTCTGCGCCGTCATCAACGCGCGTCCCTTTCCTTACTGTTTTTCCATGTTGTGTTGGTGATTTTCGTCCGCTTTCATCACTGCGCGTTGAGGGGTCTCTTATTTTTGAGAAGATTGGAGAAAATTTAAATTTAAGTTTGTTAAAAAGATGCTATTATGTGTCCAAATCACTAACCATTTTAACAAATAAACCAATGAAAATATACCTATACGAATCAAATGATTTGTTATGACCGTCATTCATTTTTATGAAATGCAGTTTTTTAAGAGGTATCGGTCATTATTGTTTTTTCGTATGGATTTTCCCATACTAGCGAGAACCTCAATTGAGGAGAGTTGGATGTGGGTAAAGAAATCAGGCCTGTTGTCAGCGCCACTACCGGTTTCACGCTTGTTAGCGATCGTCAGGTGTGCATAGACACCAATTGAGGTTCAATTGAGGTTCTCGCTAGTATGGGAAAATCCATACGAAAAAACAATAATGACCGATACCTCTTAAAAAACTGCATTTCATAACAATGAAAACATGTTTCAAGGTCTATCAAGGTCATAAAAGTGGCACGTCTAAAAATATATATTTTACAGTGTTAAGTGTGACGGATCAGGAAGAGGGTGAGAAAGCGCCAGTGTGTTACCATGGCGCTGAAAATTTCAAAAAAGTATTTCTCGCCATTCATTAACACAGAAATAACATATAAGACTTCAAAAACTTTAAAAATCAATGTATTTAAATCCGGATCAACTTGATCCGGCATGGGTTTTGCGCGTTAAAAAAATATTTTGGCATCTAAGGATTAAGTTGAGCACTTTTGTATGGTGCGCGTTTTTAGAAATTAGACTGAGATTGCCGGACCAGTTTATCAAATCTCCAGTCATCAGCCAAAACAACTCAAATCCAAGCGTTAACTTCTGGAGTACTGAAGGGAAAATGGCGTGGCAGGGCCACTAAAGTATATTGTCTCCAGAATGACCATATTCTCCACCGATAGGGATCCCAACATAGATAGCCATAGCGTTACGGAATTTTGTTATATATGTGCATTGGGCCTAGTTAAAAAGAACATATCTGTCGAGGGGATGAATTTAGATACAATTTAGCCTACGGAGGCTGAGTTTGGAGAAATTCTACTCGAGGAGCCCAGCACCACAGTATATTGAAATTTAAATAGCCTCGACGGACGGTGACCTTGAGTAAATGAGACGTTTGTCCTTCTTTCTTTCCAAAAGCGGTCATTTCGATAAACTGTGTTCAACCGGGAGTTGCAGTACGCAAACGGGTTAGGGTCCAATTTACTGGAGCATTAAAAAACCTTGTAGCAACAGAATGTGGTAGCTTTCGGTGGATTTTACATGAGATTTCCGTCTCTGGCTCCGTTTTACTCTTCTTGCGATTTCCAATTCGTTTGCAATTTTATCTAAAATATCTGAAAATTTTAAGGGGAAATATCCAAATTATTCCTGGAAAACAAACATTTTATTAGGGGAAACTAGGCAATATCCCATTGTTCATACGGCTTTCTCCCTTAGCATGACAATATTCTACTGTGTTAGAGGAAGAACGCAGTATGAACCTCCCGACGCTGTCAAATTTCCTTCAATAGAACATGAACTTTCAGGGAAATTTGTGAATATTTGTCTTCAAATTTTTCAGATAATTGTATTCGCGATTATATCTAAATTTTCTGAAAACACGAGTATTTAGTAGAAATACATATATTTTTACCCTTTAGAAATATACATTTTTCCGGAGGAAGTTTGGCAACTCTCGAATTTACATACGGCAATTTTCCATAGCACGGCAGTATTGTATAGGTGTTTTTCCGAGCACTTCAATGTGGGTATGACTGAATTGCTTAGCTCTGGGTAAATTTAAATTCCTACTAGGATATTTGGGATCTGCTCATCCTGAGCGCGATGGAGAGTGGAGACCGTCTTCACAGCCATGAAGCTGAGGAGGAAATCAAATCAGAATAGGATTCCAAGACGCCTAAACTGTTTGGAAGATGCGATAGGAACTAGAGTAGTATTGATTGCGAGGAGAAAAGGACTGGGGCTCGGGCGGCCGGGCGGTTGCAGCCGGAGATAATAGCCAAGATTTGCTGCAGATGATAAATAATTTATCAGAGCAGCAGGCATAAATTGCGCGGCCCGCCCGAGGCCCCGGGAAGGAGTTCCAACATGGCGCCAGGGAAAGAGGCTCCGACTCATTATTCACGTGCGCGGCCCGCCGCGCCGCTTTCGGCTTTTCGGCCCTTGACGAGGTCCACAATGATCCGGCCAAAAGTTGTCAAATCTGAAATCCCCATGTTGCCGTTCTTGCTCTAAATATTTGCCCAAGGCCGCCCTTTACAATGAATTCAGGAAATTTTCACTCCTCGATCTCCTGGCCTGTAAATCAATATGCGCAACGCAAAGAGAAATTCCAATACAAAAGTTTGACTTATAAGGGAAGTAAAACGCAAAATAACCCTAGCCTTCGGTTGATAATTTCAAGGGGAATTATACCAGATGCGGGCTGATTGTTGAATTTGATAGACAAAGCGATAGACAAAGGAGACATACGAAGTATGGATCAATCCTATTGGTTGTGATGGGTGGCTCTTATAGACTAAGGGAGAAATGATCGACTAACTTCAGGGTCTCTCGTGGATTGCAGTTAGATAGTCCATTACCTATCTCCTTTGTCCATTGCAACCACCCGTTTCCATCAATAGGAGCCCTCCGTATCCCGTTTTTCATCTTTGCCTATTGCTTTGTCTATTAACATCAACAATCAGCATGCTGGTTTTCTTGAAGAGATTGAATAAAAAACAAGTGATGAATACCAACGTCGTAATAAAAAAAATGCATTTTCCAAGTCTCCCCATTGTTTTCTGTGTTAAATTCACCGCGAAGTATACCTAAATCAACACAAAACTTGTATTAAATTGTGTCTCACTTCCTATATTGCCCAAAAGTAACACAAGAACACAAATATTCTTATCAGTGAATGGGTTCTCTCGATTTGCTTCGAAGACACAAGACGTGTAAGTTAATTTTTGTCACCAAAGATATTCTGCCCGGCCCGCACACTTTCGGTTAAGCGCCGCAACATGCGTCCATTATGTCCACATTATGTCCACGGAGGAGAAACATTTTTGGGGGTTATCCGCTAAAATTTTGGTACTATACCCTCGATTGTTGTATGATATAGACATGATTTCCAATTAACTTTGGTAGTTACGCAACGCAAGTCGGGTTGTACCGTAACACTTGGGTTAGTAACCTAATTTATTGAGGTACTACCAAAATTATTTTGGTCATTGCCACAATTGATTGGAAATTTCCAAGTTGGGCCCGAAGTCCTATCTCTTTTTTTCCGTGTCTCAGCCCTAAACGAGCAGGCGTGGAAAGCAAAAACGTTAGGCAACGCTGATTGGACTTCATTTTGCAACAAAATACCTCAACTTCTGGCTTATTCGTCGAAACTCTTCGGTACATTGAGGGCGAAAACGGATACTTAACTTGTTATCAAACATGGCCAGAAACTGCAGCTCCAAACTGCAAAATTTAGTCAAATTTACCTACCTTGCTTGTGTCTCACAACAATACACTGATTTAAAAATTGACAACAAAAAAATCTAGATATTGTAATTTCCATACCATACATGCCACACAACTCACTTTCGAATATAAAATATTAAAGATGATACAGACAATGATCCGCTATAGAATAGGAGTGGTCCACAGTGCGGCATATCCGGTTGGAGGTATCCCCTTCATTTATGGTGAATCGACGGCATTATCAGTCAAATCGCCACGAATCCAGTAAGGACCCGTCTCCTCCATCCCTTATGCTCGCTCGCTCCCCAAAATAAATGTGCTTACTCCCCCCCCCCCCCCCGTCCCTATTCCAACCTCACCTTCCGCGCTGTAACAAATCACTTCCTTGCTTTGAGTCTGTTCTCAGAGTAAAATCGCAACCCTCCCCCGGGAAACAAAGACGATTAATTGTTTGCTGTAATTATTCAAAAGCGCCCGCTTCATTACTATTGAAACATTTGAGTTTTTAATGATACAGCGTGTCATCCCTTTAATCACTTTCTGATCGACTTATCAGCTTAGAGTGATCCTCCTAGGATGTCGAGGACTTGTCGAGATCTAGTCTGAAACTACTTTGCGTCCGGAGAAATTCTTCCGCGCGTTTCTAGAATCTATAATAGATTTTGATCAATAGATGCGGATGATTTAATTACAAAGTGCCTCCTTGTTTCGATGATCATTCCAAATATTTGTAGCCGAACACGTCCCACCAGGCTATCGGTGAATTCGTCGCTTGGCTGACATAAGGCGTAACTACACATTGAGATGAGCCCGGAAAAGCATTGAATTGTATGGAAGACAGGGTTCTATTCAAAGTGTAATTACGCCTGTAGTATATGTCAGGTAGGCGACGAATCGGCAAAGCATTTGTAAGAATCTCGTGATTTGTAATACACCTCGAATACTAACTTTCTTATAAACACTTTTTGTCGAACGATAACCAACTAGTCAAATCAATTATAAGTCTCTAGGCAATTACTCATGGGAAGATGGGCAATTTTGGTAGAGAGTTAGTTAGTTAGTTAGTATATTTTAAGACATTCGTCATAGGCTATTAACGTCTTTACAGAGAATTTTCAAAATGGGAGTATATATGAAAATTTATATTTTTAAATTAAGAGAGGTGAAGAGTTTCAAACTTTTGGTAGTAATATAGGGTTCATTGCATGTAAGTGGGTTTGTATTTCTGTTGATTGTAGTGGAGTAGATGGGATACATTTGAATTATACGTCTTATATCTCTCTCTCCGAGGGTCAAGAAATGTAGTCACATCGCATCAGGAAAAATAAAAATGCTTTTCCAGCTTTTATTCCACTTTATCTGAAACGCGGGCATTGAAATTTAAAGGAATATATATAGAGATATAAAATATACACTTTGGCCATCCAAGAGGAAAGCCTTACCGTCGAGGAAAGAAATTCAGCTAACGTTAGACTCTTTTGCTTTGTTTTGTAAGAGTGCAACAGCTGAGAAGACGAAGATAGTTAAAATTCATGCATGTATTCAGGATTTCTCAAAGAGTAGGATTTTATTCATTTGCCTTTATATTTTAGTCATTTTTCCCTTCCTCTTTTTTTTTGGTAGGGAAAGAGAGGAGCGGAAACCAAGTAGCATGTTATAAAAAAGTGTGATGATGAACTTTTGCATGTACTTTTAAAATCTCAATGAACTTAAGTATGCTATAGTCATACTTAATCAAATAAACTTTATCGCACATTCATTTAGGTCATAATTCTTAACAACGCCGACTTTCAATCAGATTGCCACCTAGTGAACAAACTATCTTAAGCCGTATTCGCCATCATCATGAATAATTTACGTTTGAACAAACTTCTGAAACAGCCGAAACTAATGAGAATCTATCTTTCATGCAGGAAACTCATAAAAAACATATTTTCCCCGTTTCCCTTCAATATTCTGAAAACATAGGTGTATAAATATTTTATCACAGAAAAATTGTGTATTTGCACCTACATTGAAACACTAACAACTGTCAATGGTACATCCTGTTTTCTTTAAATAGGGCCTTTGTTACTACATGAAATGCATTTATTCTCTTTCAAACAGCAGTAATAAATAGGTACATTCACTGGAAAAAAAAACTAATTGGATCTAGAGTCTAGACTCTTAAAAACATCGACAAGAAAAAATACTCTTGATTCAATCGGATTTTTGCTTAAATCAAGAACTATGCCTCTTAATTTGAGCGGATTTTCTTATGATTGAAGCAAAAATCTGATTGAATCAAGAGTATTTTTTCTTGTCAATCTTTCAAGAGTCTGGACTCTAGTTCCAATGTGTTTTTTTTTCTAGTGTTCCCTAATGGCTGTACTAAGAAAAACACGTCTCTCGGATTGCAACGTCATAAACTTCCTATCATACTTCATTTTTCGTATGAGCTATGAAACTCCATTTTTTGACTACTATGATTAATCTCCTCTGAGGGAAGCGTTTCCTGCGCGCATTTCAAGCGATGAGTTTAATTCATTCTCCTGCAAAAGAAAAACGGAATACGCGGAAGTTTTGGAGCATCGCAACGAGATACGTGTTTTTCTAATTCCACCATCGATACGCTGCAATATTTCTTTGAGCCAAACAATCAACACTACGATAAAAACGGAGTCAGCTGAGAGGACAGAGGGATAGAGAGGAGTGGGTGGGGTTGAAACGGGGAGAGACTTGAGTAGTGAAGAATTAGCAGTTGAGACTTTAGGGAAACAAAACTACGAGAGAGAAGGGGGCAAGAGCTTCTCCGAACGAGCTTTTCACGGTTGTCGCCTGCTCGGAGCGATGATCAACGGCGCTTTAAAGAGCGAATTTGATATTTTAAGTGTAGAATAGACAATCGCGTCGGTTCTTTGTGACGAAGAAAAACGCAGGGCGGGCGGAATTTTTTCGACGACCGAGAGACTTTCCCGTCGCGCCACTCCTCCAGACGCCTCTTCAAAGCTGCCGCCACCAATTTCTTTCTCCTCCGGTGCGTTGTGCTCGAGTTCCGTACTGAAATATTTTTGCGAGCCTCAGGTCGAGGTCTTCGGGACTCGTAAATTTGGGTCGACGACCACGTTTCGAAGACTTGATCCAGACCTAACCTTTAGTTATCGAATTCTTAGTATTTTTTATTTAATTTTTAATTCGTAACCGCCCACGTGTATTCCAAATACGCAACAATACGTCATTTCAAAGAATAAAATATTATTAAAATATTAAAAAGTCACTCAATAGTCAGAGAAAATTTTGTACATATCAAATTCTGACGCGTTTCAACTCACATCCGGGACGCTACTTGAATTCTGCAGGGTCTAGATGGGCTACATTTTGCAATTTGGAACTATAAATTCTAGTCCGGTTTAAAAACAACGTATGTGCCATTAGTTTCCCTATGCACATAAGTGTTTTTCCAGAAGAGCCAGAATTTATAGTTCCAAATTGCAAAATGCAGTCCAAATGTGACTGTGGAGTTTACGCAAAGTAAATTAACGCACTTTTGGACTGCGACAGAAGATCGTGTGACGTAGCATTGAAAGTAAATAGAAGAATCAAGATGGCGGATCTTCTGCCACAGTACAAAAGTGCGTAAACTTATTTGATGTGGACTCTAACTCGCTCCATTTTTGCGGTTAATAAAAAATTACTGAGTCTGGTTTAAAGTAAAGTAGAAGTAACCAAGGAGGGCTTTTAACTAATTTTTATATTTATTACGTTATTTACCAGCCAAAAATGTATCAAGAAATTATTTTGCTTCCGTGGAAGAAGGTCCTTTTCTTCGCGGAAAGTCACACTATTTTTTACTTACTTCGTCTTTTTCGTCACAATATTTCAACATAGGTAAAAACGCACTTTTCAGAAGAATCACTATGGCGGATCTTATTTCACAGTTCAAAAGTGCGTAAACTTATTTGATGTGGACTCTAAAGCCATCCATTTCAAGAGTGGCGGTAGCCACCCCCGGTCGAGGAAAATGACGTCCTACTAAAGTCCCGATAGCAAAGTGGTGGCCGACACTTTTTATTCCGTTAACGGAAAATTACTAAGTCTGGTTTCATGTAAAGTAGAAGTAACCAAGGAGGTCTGTTGGATTTACAGCATCTTGAACGTGGGGATTAAACGAAGTACTTAAATTTTCGAGGCATGCTTTTCAAAGCCCTTAACCTGTCTTCTTTCTTGTTTCAGAACGAAAAGTAATCAAAGATGGATGAAACTGCGGACCACCGTTCAAATATCCTCTGCAGTTGGATCCACAAAGTCAAAGCCACCTTTGAAAAGAGAAGACTCATTTCTAAAGAGATTTTCCACGCGACAAGTACCTCAAACTCAGGTAGAAACAATTCTATAAAAAAACACAATATTATTGATTAACATTAATTAACCTTAGGTCTTTCTGTCCACCAACAAGCTTTTACGCTCAAATGTCACTGAGTATCAGTATTTAAAGAAACTCGCTATCTCGTCGGTGGTAGACACAGATCTGCGTGCATAAATGTTTTTAACAAAAACTTTTCCGCACGTTCATTGCAAGTATTGATTCGGTAAATCATTGTCGATAACTTTTCCGTAAAATTGAACTATATATATTAAAGAGGCTCTGCCGATGCTTTTCGGTAATCCCGAATTTTTAGGTTGTAATTGTCAACTTTAATCCATCTGCAATGATTGCAACGCATAAATATTGCGAGCACTAACAGTTACGGTCAGGCGCTGTGCTGCGTTGAAGAAATCCAGAGCGCCTGCAATTTTGTGTATATGCAACAAAATGTCTCTGCAGCACGAATAGTCGTTTCCAGGCGCCTTAATGTTTTGCGATCAAGGTGACAGAATACGTGGCTTTGGCGCATTGTGCTCGAGATATGGGAGACGCGTCGCCATAATTGAAACGTTTGTTTTGAAGCGGTGCCGACTCCGAAAACCAAATTTTTCAAGAGACAAAAGTACTACAGAGGAGGCGGAAAAATTAACACAATGAATAAGTTCTTGGTGTTAAAGGTCTATTCTTGAAAGGCATCGTTGGCGAACAAATTGCAGGACGTTCGCTATATTTTCATTCTAATAATTGGATTTTAAATTTTTAGAGTTGGCACGTCCTTTTAACCTTAAATAAACAAGGTGACGTCGGAATTTTGCCTGAGAATCTAGAAAATTGAATGTAGACTTACTATCATACTTCATGGTTTCCTTCAAAAATTAGTAAACGTCATTGATCGAAAACTTCCTTGATTCTTTTGCCACATCTGCAAAATATTCTGTAAAAATTTTAAGCTACAAAATTGACTTGTTCCTCCTCGAAAAATAAAATAAAAGCGGACATTTTGAAATCCCGCCATAGAGAAGCGTGGTTTCGTTCTATACAGCCATTGATACAAATTATGTTTATTTCTTTTAAAAGACTTGCGTATAACAAAACCTTAAACAAAACGGCTTGAATACAAATAAAACCAGCCAATTTCTTGACAAAAATGTCAACGAAAAATGTAAACTTTTTTAAAATGCATTGTATTCAAACATTTCGATTCGGCACCGTAGTATTCCAGCTCTGCTGAGTAAACACGGATGTTATTAAGTTGTTCAAAAATGTTTCTCGGGCCTCTTGGCAACGGCCACGCCGAGGAAATAAAATACACGCAATAAAGATGTAAGTTAACGGAGCGTGAACGTAAAGATATTTTGTGCATACCAAACCGCGGTAGCCCTCGGAACCGTCATAAAAATAAAAACGACCGTGATACTATTTAAATGTAGGAAGTTACTCATGGACTACCTTAGGCTGTTAAAAGCGAAGAACAAAGGTGCATGATCATGACGGAGATCATCGCGACGTTTAAAGCCTTTAAATGGAGGTTGAGGTCTCTGAGCCGTCACTTTTATACAGGGTGGCCGGTGACCTGCACCTCTTATTCCTTTTCAAGATCTTAGCGTTATATAACCCGATTTTTTTGACCGCGGACTGCTTTACCCAGCACTCCCTCCACTTCCCGCTTGCTGCCGTAGTAGCATGACCCACATGTCTATACGATGGGTCATGTCAAATTGATAATTGGACGGAGTTAAACAGAAAGGAACCAAGCCACATCGGGATCGAACCGAGAAAAAGAGGTTTAAAGTTTGGCTCCTGCATAAGACTCAATGTAAAAGATAAACTTCAAGTTCAATTTCTGCAAAATTTGCTCCAACAAAAACTTTGAATTTTCGGCGATAGATAGTAGAGCAACTGTTGAGTTCAAAACCACTCATAACTCAATTTTTTTCAAAATGTGGGTTGGTTCCTTTCTGCTTAACTCAGTCCAATTGATGTTGGTTTCTCTATTTTTTACATGCCAATGTGAATACGTAGATTCATTTCGACATCATACAGATGCGGACTCGAAAATTCCGTTCTAATTGTTTCAAATAAATTATACTATGTCATTGGGCCACCAAGCAATGAACGAATTTTAACTTAAGAATACAAGTTTCCAAACGAGACGTTTTGACGTAGAACGAGTAAAAAACTGCTGTGCCAATTTTCAACTCTATGTTATTGAATGATGTTGGGGTACTCAACATTATTACTCGAAATTCACGTAAAAAGGTCGAGAAAAAGTACGCAGAGGTAAAAATATATATTCAGTTATTTTATCTGGTAACCAATGTATTATTGTACCAACGGGTATTTTTGGCAGGCTGTACCTATTGCAATGTTTTAAAATTTAATTTTTAAGTCAGCAATCCATTTTTCCCCCGTGGATTTGAATCGTTTCAGCCAGTATAGGGTCTAGGAGTTGGTCCAGGAGAGCGGATCTCTTTTATCGGGCCAGGTTGATCGGAGCGTCGGGTAGCTGGGCATGTTCAATAATTAAGCATCGATGGAAAGTCAATTTGCGCGCGCGAACAGCTCTAAGACCCCTTCCACAAAGTCCCGCGCAGCTAGTGCAAACACAATAAAAACACCTCCGGGGTCCCGGCGCCAGCAGAGCATGCATGGTTCTCCGGTGTTGCCGGGTCTGTCAATAATAACATACAACCTCGTAACAAAGCTGTAAAAAAACATTAATACATACCCATGCACCAAAATCAACAGGAGTTATCTGCCAATTTGATCATTCGGCCACGAACATGATTCACCGAAAAAAAATGCATCTGACACACAGCACTGAGTAAAAAAATTATCAGAATCTAATATCTGTAATATACAGGGTGTCCGAAAAGTCCATACCCCCCTCCCGTATCTTTTGAACGGTTAGAGATAGGAAAACGAAACTTTGGGAATGTTTCGTTTTTCTATCTCTAACCGTTCAAAAGTTACAGGGGGGTACGGACTTTTGGGACACCCTGTAAGTCTAGTAACCAACATTTTTTGTCTAAAGTGCCGTTTTATTGCAGTAATTAATAATTTCACCTGTGTAAGCAACACAGCCATTAGTTGCAATTTTCGCAAAGTTGGCAGCACTGTTTTTCAGCCAATTGACTCAATCATATATAATCCATCATTGTTTAGGAAGTTTGCCTCATTTAGAATCAATAAAGATCGATTATTTTACGTGCACTTAAATTGGCGACACTCAGTGTTGCCTTATTTCAAGTATCGATTCTGAGAGCGACCTCAGCGAGCCAATTGGAGAGCTAGACCTAATGTTTGAGTAGTTCTGATTATGATAATTTTATCTAGTGCTGTGCTCGTGCAATGGGTATGCAAATCGCATTGTTTCGAGTCGCTTGAAATTTTATCTGGCTTTACAAACGTTTTCATGGCTTTTTTCAACAACTAGGAGGTCATAAAAGACAGTAAAAGGAATTTGAATCAATCCAATTCCCCTAAATTTCCCTTAGATTATGAGTCATTTTTGGCGAGTTTTAAGGATTTGTTAACATCAAAGTCTCTCATCACCTGAGTCTGAAAATTATGGTTGATTTAATTCCTCCGCACACTGAATAAAAGTGTTTGGCTCGAGCATGATGATTCTTGAATTTTCCGCCAAGAATTTTTCTTATCTTGATTTAAGCTGAATTTTTCTTGATACAAGAAAATGAGGCTTGGGTCAAGCAAAAAAGTAGTTTATATCAAGCAGCAGATACGTACTTTTTTACTATGGTTATAAATTTATTTAATTTCATTCGCTCCAATTAAAATGGAAGTAGGTACACTTTGAATTACCTCAAATACTACAAAGTAGCACTGAACTGAGGATTTCAATGAAAACAATTGGCATTTTTAAATGAATGAATTCAATTTGCATTCATCCTAATATAAGCGCGTTCCTTATGCTAGAGCATCTACGTGCAACACGTCTATTTGGCAACAGCTAGTTAAAATATGTAAACAAAGTTAGCAGCAGCGCCGATTATGAAGATACCCATAGCTTCCAACCCTACTACCCTACAGTTTAAAAATCCCCTCATATGAATCTCGCACAACCGGCGCATAGGCAGCGGCTGCTTGTCAAACAAAAGTTTTAGCAATATACTATCATGTGAAGATGATGGAGTAAGTGTGCAAACACTGAAGAATGAAATTAAGGGAATCTCTAGCAGGCGTAAGCAAACACCCGGATATCGAGCGTAATTCACCAAAATACTGATTAACTTTCACATTTTCAGCAAGAAACGGATCCATTAAGCCTACAAGCTCATTTTAGAAGGATCCAGACACAGAAGTGAACTGTTCGATTCGACTAATCGAATGTAATATTCGTAGAGTTTACAAAAAAAAAATTGGAAAAAAAAATTTTTTTGGAAAGAAACTGCAGGTTGTGCTTTTAGTCATGATGGATCCGTTTTTTACTAAAACTTCACGGTAAAGCCACAACATATTTTTCTACATGCTCGACACCTTGATGTTTGTTTATAATTCCGGTGTAGATTGACCTTGAAAGATCTTTAGTGAACCCGAAAAAAAAAATGGATAGGTTGATTTCAACTTTATCGTTGTTTTTATGATTCTAGATGCAAAGACAATCCGTCACACAAGTCGTGAAAACTGACACATGGCGCACTTGATTATTGTTTATAAATTTTTAGTATGAAGCGGAATATCCTCATGATAGGGGGGAATAACTCACTTGAATACAGGAGCGTGGTATAATCCGCAATATATCGATTGATCTGCCATATAAACCCATGGAAAAGGATCGATAACAGGGTGTGTGCGACGAACACCTCAATAATCGATTCTTTACAACAACTTCAAGTAGGGAGATAGGTATATACAATCGATCATTCGCGCCTCGCCAGTGCTTGAATACCATCGTCTTTCTTGGAGCAATAGTTCTCAGTGGAATGGCCCACTAGACGGATTAGACAATTCGTCATATTCCAGACAAAGGAACGTAACTTCAAAGCAAGGTTGCCAAATTGACTCTAGAAATTAAAGTTTTTTGCAAGAATGTACTTGTACAATTTTTGCCCAAAATGTTCCTGACTTTTGCATAGGGTCAGCAGAAAAACCAGTGAAATTTTTAGTCGAGTTTCCCAAAATTCTCCTAGTAAAAATGCGATTTGCGAGAGGAAATTTGGCAACATTCGAATGAAGTTACGTTATTTCATGAGGGGGTTGACGATGTAAGCACCGCAATTCACGATCTCTCATCAAAATACCATCTAAAACTCGTTGGATACATTGAATATTTCCAAATTCAATTAATGAGTGAAAAATTAGCGTTTTACTTTTTCAGGAGTTCAAAAAACCAAAGTTCACTTATAGTCAAATATTTCACGACATTAAGTGGGGCAATCCGGACAGCCAATCTTTGGGTCTAGTCCAATTAGAACGAAGTTAGACATCAAAGACTTAACTTCAGAAACGTGTCTCTGAATCTTGAAAGTCTTCCGTTGTTTGCGTGCTTTTCATTAGAGATTCTCTCTTGCGGAGATAAGCTCTATATAGTCTTCCTCCGCCCCCATCTGGAACGGATTTAATCGTTCAACTTGGCCACGATAAGCGTTGCCTAATTTCTTCTCATATTCTGTCTTTTCAAATAAAAAACGAGACAACATTCCGATTTAAATACCGTGAAGTTATTTTGTGATCTAGATAAAATTCAGGGAAAATTTGAAGAGATCATCTTGTTTAATTTCTTGTTAAAAAATTAAAACATGAAAAGAATTTGAGTAACGTGAAGTAGGTAATTGTATAGACCATGCAATTGGCATCCTTTTCCTCAGAATGCACGGTATAAAAGTCTTCCATTTTTTCTTTGTAGTTCTGAGCAGCCAATCATACACGGAGAAAAAAACTTCGGGCGTGGGACCCGAAGTTTAGGTCATATGGATCTCTGAAGATTTCGGATTGATTTTTTATCTAGCTGTTGAGGTTCGGATTACTCATCTGAAACTTCGGTTCTTACATCTGAAGTACTTAGGTTTTCACATCCAAAAAACTTCGGCTTTCACATTCAAAAAACTTCGGTTCTCACATCTGAAGTACCTCAGATGTAAGAACTGAAGTTTCAGATGCGTGATCCGAACCTCGACAGCTAGATCTAAAGTGTTCAGATGCTCAATCGGAAAACTTCAGAGATCCATATGACCTAAGCTTCAGGTCCCACGCACGAGGTTTTTTTCTCCGTGTATTACAGGAGAAACGAAAGAAAAAGATCCAGCGGCAGTGAGTAAGAATACGGTGCGATGTTTGTTCTTCTGCCAGTTGGCACCACTGTCATCTCCGATATCCAAACGAGGGTCATAAGTCACGAAAGCGTTTATGCGTGTCATTATTTTTTCACGACGCGAAGGGTAAAGGGTTTGTTTTTAAGAGCCAACGCAAACGACTTGCTGCCCTCCATGTCAACAGGTGTTCGGATGTCAATCGGATATAACCGAGCTTAATTACGAGCTTCCGCTCATTTTGCATAGAATTCGCTGTCGACGTTGCCCAAACTCCATTTACGTATTATACATATAGGGCGATTCGAAAATTTTGCACTATCAGCACCAGTTATCAACCCTGTAACTTTGGAGCAAATTTAAATAGACTCTTGAAAGTTTGTGAGTACTCCTCGGTTGAAGGGCACGACTCTTGAGATTTCTCAAAATTTAGAAGACATCGCCATGAAAAGGACAAGCAGCTTAGGAGTTATAGAGGTGGTACGGAACTTTTGGATCACCTTATATATTTAGAAAGTAAGGGGTCGCTCAAGTATTACGTAAGCTACTCGGGAGGGGGTGAGAGGGTCTGAGCTTGGCATACAGGGTATTGGAAGATATGGATCCTGTCATTCAAAAAAAAAAATAATATTCAATTTCCCCATAAAATAATCCGTCCATCTTTTTTTGGGCTTTCTCTGTTATTTACGGAAACTTTTCGGGGAGACGGGGGGGTGTCACGACTGTCACGGTAGTCATGCGTAGGTAATTCGAAAGAAAGTGAGAGAGGTGTGCTTTTGAGCGAATTTCAAGATGGTAGTGGGGTCAAAAAGTCAGTTCGTACGACTTGTGTAATACTTGAACAACCCCTGACTTATTTCGTGACAAATTTAATTGCGCTATTGGCCCAGAGCAAGACTGAGTGATGAAGTGTGGTCAGGAGGACAAGTGATCTACAGGCCAGCGGGCTGATTATTGAAATTGATAGACAAAGCTATAGACAAAGAAGACAAAAGGGATATGGAAGGATCCTATTTGTGTAATCGGGCGATTGCAATGGACAAAGGACGTAGATAATAGACTACCTATCGGCAACCCATGAGGGACCCTTTAGTTAGTCCATCATTTTCTCCCTCAGCCTATAAGAACCACCCATCTCAACCAATAGGATCGCTCCATACTCCCTATGTCTTCTTTGTCTATAGCTTTGTCTAACAATTTCAATGATCAGCCCGCAGGTGCGGTTCACTGTATAGGGCCCGGTTAGCGGTTGGTGGAGGGTCTCTCGTCTTTTTTTCCGCGAGGTAAATAAAATTCGCATTGTGTCATGAATCTTTTTACGATACTCTTATTTCTCTATGTATTTATTTGTGTGGTTCCAGGAAACTGTGGACACAGGCGACGACGGGGAGGGGGGCTCGGGGTCGCAATCGAATCTCGACGACTCATCGGTGCGGCGGAAGCGGCGGCGACGGCTGCGGCACCCGCGGTCGGTGGTGAACCCGGACGAGAACTTCTACTTCTACTGGCTCCTGGTCATCACGGTCTGCGTGCTCTACAACCTGTGGACGCTCATCGTGCGGCAGAGCTTCCCGGAGCTCCAGATGGGCTACTCCACGCTCTGGTTCTCGGCCGACGCCTTCACCGACGTCGTCTTCCTCTGCGACATCATCGTCCAGTTCCGGACCGGGTACCTCGAGCAGGGGCTCATGGTCTACAACTCCAAGAAGCTCGCCGGGCACTACCTCAAGTCCAACTCCTTCGTCCTCGACGTCCTCGCGCTCCTCCCGTTGGATCTCCTCCAGTTCAACCTCGGCATCCAGCCCCTCCTCCGCTTCCCTAGGTTTTTGAAGGTGAGCACTTCCTCTCAATACCTCAGGGGCCGTTCGACTATTACGTAACATGTATGTATGTTACGTACACTGGAAAAAAAAACCACGGATCTAGAGTCCAGACTCTTGAAAACATGGACAAGAAAAAATACTCTTGATTTAATCAGATTTAAGCTTAAATCAAGAACCAAGCCTCTTAATTTGAGCGGATTTCCTTTTGTTTTAAGCTTAAATCTGATTGAATCAAGAGTCCTTTTTCTTGTCAATGTTTTCAAGAGTCTNTTTTTTTTTTTTTTTTTTTTTTCCAGTGTAGGGGGGAAGGAGGTTTCCTGGGTTATAGTGTGTATGGCCCAGAGAGCTTTCCCAGACATTTAAAAAGTGAACGAAGTGCCTGTGGCTGCTACGCGGTCGCCAACCACTGAACAAAACTACCCGTAAAAAATCGTAGCATTACCATGTTCAAGTTTTTTAAGAGATTAATGGATTCAAAACCCGACGGGTGCATCCGAAAGAAAGCGTATACTTATCTATGATTGCAACGTTATGCACCAATTTTATGTGTTATTTTTAATACATGTTTTTAAGAAGTTAAAAACAGTTTTTCCGAAAATTTTCCGCGAATTTATTTAAATACTCTCAATTAAAAGTATCGAAAATTTCGACACAACATTTTCGTTCGTTCTATTTTCTTTTAATGTAACCAAAAAAAATTAAATATCATCCGACTTTCTGAATCGTTACAATGAGGATACATATTTTCCCTTTAAATATGGTAAAAAACTGGAGGAATAAAGTCAAGAATTATGACACGCAATCCTACAGCATTCCCACAGCCGTGTAGTCGCTGATATGCGTTTGACGCCAACTGACCGACTGCCCTGCATTTGGCGCAATGCGAGAAGTATTCAAGCAGTCTTGTAGGCGCGAATATGGGCTGCAAGCCAACCGCACTGTTTGGCGCAATGCGTGCAGTGTTCCTGAAGTCTTGCAGGCGCTAACATTTAACGCCGCCCGCACTGTGTTTGGCGCGATTATTCAAACTCGCGTTAGAATAATTGCGGCATCCAATAATAGAGCTTAAATGGATGTGGCCCATGCTGTGTTTCGACACCGTACGAACATTCCCACGTTGCCTCGTTTCTCCCGATTAAATATTTTTTTCCGGGAACAGTTAGGAAAGTTCTTTATACCCACGACTATTATTCAATCTTTTCACTCCATTAATCATCAGCTAGGGTCATCGATGACTTGTCAACAAATTAACCTAAACTAGCGTTAACATAAAAATGCGTTTATTTTCCAACCGTTTTTTGCTTTTCCAAACTGCTACCTTAAATTAACTTCATTTTAAATTCGCGCATTCCTGGTAGCAGATGTTAAGGTTTCTATTCACGCGTTTTATTTTCGTGTCTTTTTACGAGCAATCCTCATATATTTTCTTAGACCTCTCGCGCAATCCTGAATTACCGATTTCTATCTGTGTTTCATTATTAGGGCTCAATTTGGTCTCATGCTGTTCACTAGAATTGCATTTCTGATGGATTAAATAATACTCAAATTTCCTCGAAGTAATGGTCGATAGTGTAGAACATTTAAAAGGAAAGTATTGAGATAATTATACCACTTTTCTAATTGATTCGCCATTTTTAAGCCTCCCATGGAGCTTTTGAGGCCAATATACACACCTAACCTAACCTGGGCGGATTTGAAATTAAAGTGGCGAGTAGTAAATGAATTTAACGAGGATTGCGAAATTTTTAGCAAAAGCATCCATGAAAGTTTGTTCCGAACAATTTTCAGAAGTTGGGAATTTAAAACAATGTACCATAACAAATACTATTATACCTAGGAATACCTATGGGCACTGTATGTATGAGCTTATCGGTAAACGGTAAATGCTCTTAAACCCAAATTCGAACTTAAACTTTACATAACATAAAAGGATACCATTAAAAAAATAGATTAAGTCAACGCGACTCTAACAATATTTATCGTGACCACAACAAATTCGCTGATAGAAACCGTCTGTCTATTTCATAGGGGATATTGCATGCGGGATTTCAATACCTAATTCTACAATAATCACACTGATGATACAATAAAAAATTTAATCCTTGTCTCCCCCGACGCATTCCCGCATTTTGTGGCAGCAAATGGGCGTGTCAACTAAGTGGCAAAAAATGTTGATTTACTCAATGTGGATCGTTGTTCTGAGTTCATTTGAGCAAAGAAAGAAATCAAATTGTGTGTCTTTTATTTGTCCACTTGACTTCTTGTTTTCGTTTTTTAACTTTCCTACCGAATCTGAGATACATCTCATTACGGGCGCAGAGCGGAGCATTGAGAGTTTACGCCTCGCGTCATCGCGCCTTCAATTTTGCAGACGCAACCCGGACATCCATCCAGCACGAATAGTTGTATCTCTGAGCCGTTGGCTTCACTTATCATAATTTTACTTAGTCTCCTACCTAACTTTTAAAAAATATTTGAATCGTTAATTTTGATCATGTCGAAAGAACGTCATAATCCCGCCCCGTGGAGACACCAACGGCGAAAAATCACCGGAATTAGAGTACCTATATAGGGTGAGTATAGACACACTGGAAAAAAAAACACATTGGCTCTAGAGTCCAGACTCTTAAAAACATCTATAAGAAAAACTACTCTTGATTCAATCAGAATCTAGCTTAAATCAAGAACCAAGTCTCCCAATTTAAGCGGATTTCGTTTTGATTCAAGCCGATTGATTCAATCGGATTTTTCCTGTCAATGTTTTCAAGAGTGTGGACTCTAGATCCAATGTGTTTTTTTTTTCCCAGTGCATGTCGACAATTTTGAGGTTAGGTGATGGAGCTATTAGACCCCAAAAGAGTAGGCAATCTATGAATTCAAATTATCCAGAGTGATTTACAATCACAATTGTTGGGAACTGTCGTTCGTAAAGCACGTGTTTGACTTGGTGTTGGCATAAACTTACTCATTTTTGCGGTAGAAAGCTTACTTATGAATTTTCTTGTCCATTTTTGTTTGATATTGGAGTCTAAAGATTGATAGTGACATTTTTCGTTTTCAAAAGTTACCTACCCTTTTGGACCCTAAGAGCTACATATTTCGAGTTATCCATACTCTCCCTATCTAGGTACTCTAGCCGAAATGGAGATTTTGCATGTGTGAGGAATTTGCGATTTGACTGTTGATTCTTATGTACAAGTTCGCGAAAAACACGATGATACCATTGGTTTTCTCTGAAATCAACTCCCAAGCTCAAAAAATTCTCTCAAGTTGAGGCCAAAATGGAGGGGATATCCCACCCTACCCTGAGAGTCCACCTCTACATCAAAACAAACTATTCATGCAAAGATAGGGAGCAAATACATTGACAGGGCTGCCACTTTATTTTGGGACTCCAAAACTGAAAACACGACAACCCTGCTAATGTATTTGCTCCGTATCTTTGCATGGAGAGTTTTGTCTTGATGTAGACGGGGACTCTCAGGGTAGGGTGGGATATCCCCTCCATTTTGGCCTCAACTTGAGAGCTTTTTTTGAGCTTGGGAGTTGATTTCAGTGAAAACCAGTGGCACCACCGTGTTTCTAGCGAACTTTTACGTAAGAATCAACAATCAAATCGCAAATTCCTCACACATGCAACAACATCTCCATTGAAGTCTAACGATTGATAGTGACATTTTTCGTTTTCAAAAGTTGCCTACCCTTTTGGACCCTGAGAGCTACATATTTCGAGTTGTCCATACTCTCCCTATACAAATACTCTAGCCGAAATTACTCTCGCTCGAATCTAAAAGAATCAAGATCTGCGAAACTGCCGGTGGAGACAAGGCCTTGAAGTCATCTGCAAACGAGCGCGACTCCCCCCAACCCCAGCATAACGCTCGCGACGCGAAATCCCCGCGAGGAGAACCACACGTGATATGAGCACCGCTAATGTCACCGGACTTAATGTTCTTGAGGCGGAAAAAAAATCCAATCCGGGAGAACGGGGGACCCGGTCATTTCGCGGGAGAATCGCGTAATTGGAGCCCTCATTTGCATTTAAATAGGAGACGCATGGGTGGCCCATTGAATTAGTCTCCTCCTTTGGTCGGTGGCTCCGGCTTCGGTTCCGAGAAAAGATAAGGGAGAAATACGACGACGGTTTCTGCCGTGGAAAGGAAGAACGCCGTATGAACCTTCAGGCGTTGCCAAATTTCCTTTGATAAAACACGAATTTCTCGGTAAAAATATGAATATTTTTCTTCCAAGTTTTCAGATAATTTGGTTCGCAATATCACCGAAAGTTCCTGCAAGTTTCAGGCAAAAATATTCATAACTTTCCTCAAAAATAAACATTTTAGCGAAGGAAATTTGGCAACTCTCGAATGTTCATACGGCGTTCTTCCTTAGCACGGCAGTTTTTCACGCTCGCACCCGGGCTCTCTCATTTTTCCCCCGCCAAGCTCGACACTAGTCGTCGGGAGCTTTTTATTTTAAGTCGCAATGCATTCATGCATTCAAAAGCTCGTCGTCAAATCCCAAAAATCATTAATCGACTATCACCGAGGGATGGCTTAATGTATGGTTTGTTGAGACCTCTTTGAAACAGGGAACTGTAAAAAAAAGCTTTGCCAATCACTCATTAACGCAAATCTTTTAATCTCAATCAGATAAATAAATGACTAAGCCAAGACTAATTGGACATACTTCTGTCAAACGGAACTATGTTCATCATGATGTGAGCTCTGTCATGCATCTATTCTTAGGGGTCTCAACACACATAGTTCCGTTTGGAAGAAAGGCGTCCAATTAGATCGAGTAATCTGTTGCACACAACACATCGACGATGAATCTTCCAAACCACGTATTTCATTCGCGATAATTTCGAATCTCCGCTCCCATTTTACTTATATTGATGAGAACAAATCAATATTATTCCGTGCTTTTGTTTCAGAAAAAATTGCAAGCACGACATAATAATGTAGGTTTCAAATGGACTACATTTCGCAATTAGGAACTGAAATTTCTGGCTCAGATTAGAAGCAACGTATGCACCTAAGTATTTTTACCGATGAGCCAGACATATTGTAGTTCTTAATTGCAAAATGAAGTCCACATGGCAGTTTCAGATTTTAAGTGACTGAAAGGGTCATTTGCTCAATTGGAGTGCATTTTGCAAAAAGGAACCAGAAGCATTGCAATGATGCTAAGATTAAGCAACTTCATCCTTTGCAATTAAATTACTAAAATCATGAAAAAAGTATGAAATTTACATGGTAATTTTTGTCTTGAATTTACTGTTTTTAGCGAGTGAAATATAATCTGTTAATGAGTAATCAGGTTGTTCTTCCAAGACAAAAGAAGTTGCACGATCTTAGCAACATTGCAATGATCCTGGTTCCTTTTTGCAAAATGCAATCCAATTAATGTTCTCAAAATATGTAATAATCGAGTAATGATTTACTAAATACTTCAAAACATCTGCATTTTAGAATATAGTCTCGAAAAAAAATAAAAGATACCGTTTTGTAAAGTCCCATTTCGCTGAGAAAGAATAGAGCAATTAAAATAATGGGCGATATCACGCTTCATCTCCATTATCTTCTTAGTGGGGCATTTAATGATTGCATGCCTTAATGCTTCCTTATGCCTCGATCGAGCGGTAATATAGCTTATATTAAGCAAATAAAGGAACAATGCTCAATTATTACCGCTGGACTTCGTTGCAGTATTAATTAGTAAAGATCGACTTAATCCCTTGTGGGATCACACACAATACATGAACTTAAAAGCGTGGAATCTGGGGTAATCTGCGGCTTTTCAAAACATAGGCACAAGGAGGTACCGTGTAAGGCTATTTATTAATTACTCCGCAATTGAAGTGTGGAGAGTTATACAATACGTTTAATGATGTAAGGCAACTTATTATACCGGGCTCCAAAAATCGAGATGACAACTGAATCACAGTTTGTCAGAGGATAAAGATAGCATTGCAATTTTACATTTTTTTTAAAAGTGTGCAGCTTCTTTTCTCTTAACCGAGAGCAGATTTTTTCTTAACAAATGAAATCTACAAGTTAATTATCTCATCGGTAATTTTGCGAGACGGTAGAATGCTTTTTAATGTCAACGTTACATAATTTTTTACGCATTAATTAAAGTTTTATCTCGAAGCATTGGACATTTTCAACTAAAAATTTCACGGATTCCTTTATTGATCACACACAAAAATCAGCAACACATCGGAGAAAATTGCAGTTGTATATATTCTTGTCAAAAATTGACTTTTACGTCTATTGCGCAACCATGGAATAGAGTTACCTGCCCTTGTTTGGGAAACGAAGATTTGATTAGCATGTTTTTAGATACAAATTCAAACAATTTTACTTTTCGTGTTTTCTCACAAAACTAAATTGAATGCTAAGTTCAACCCTTCGATGCTCAAGACTTTTTTGTACGCTAAGACTCAAGACGGGTTAAATAAACCCGTATTTAAATACATTGGTTTTGATAGTTTTTGTCGATGGTATTTTTTCATTTTTTTTTTTAAAGTTAAGAAATACTTTGTTTGACAGTTTCAACGATTAGGTAACATAACTGCAATTTTTTACCTCCCTTCTCCTTATTTACCATGTGTTAGATGGTCAGGTCAATTTGATCAGACTTGGAATTCCTAGGGGTTGTCGACAAAAAAATATCCCTATCTCGATACAACTCTCACCAGAATACCACTTTTTAGACGTGCGTATTAATAGACCTCTAAACTTATTTCTCCGAAATGATTATTGATTTAGACACGTCATAGCTTATTTCAAGCAAACTTAAGCTTAAATTTTCTAAAGTTTCAAAAATAAGACACACTTTTATGAGCGTTGATGACGGAGAAGAGATAAAACTATTCGTACTTGATGGGTGTCTGTGTTGCATCTGCAAAATTGAAAGCGCGATGGCGCGGCGAGAGGCGCGAACTCACGGTGTTCCGCGTTTTGTCGGCGTTCTGATGAGGAGTCGCTCGGATTCGGGAAAAACATGACAAAAAGAAAGCCCGAATGCGTCTCTCTTTATCTTAGGCGTAGCCTTTGAAACACCACTACAAATAAGACAAACAGAAACAAACGTATGGAAAAAGAGCAATGGAAAAGATGCTCGTTATTGACGGCGCAGAGATACAACTATTCGTGCTTGATGGATGTCCGTATTGCGTCTGCAAAATTGAAGGCGCGGTGTCGCTCAGATTCGAGAGAAGAGTTAATAAACGAGACTCGAATCCTCTTTTCTTGTCTTCGGCAATATGTTGACATTCGATTCTTCTCTTTTTTTTCAATTTGACGTCTGATTCTCATCTCAGGATGTATTTCTAAGCTCGTATATACTGATCCTATTCAAATCGTGGAGCGGATTTTTTCATCAAACCTCGGGTCAATTTGACTCGTTTTGGGCATCTAAGGGTTAAAAGCGTTCCAAAGGTATTAGTTTCAACTCGCAAAAGCACAATTCGGTCTGCTAATCGTATATTCGCTCATGTACCGTTTAACTAAACAAGTGAGCCTAACAGTCATAGAAAAAAATCATTCTTTCACAGTCTCGGCTGTAATTCCTTCTATTCTAACAGGATTGAACGTTTTTTGCCTGAATGAACTTAACTACATCAGAAGTTACCTGATTGTTTCTATGATGTTTTATTTTTTAAACAGAAACTAAACAACCGATGGTTCTGAGTAAGTGTTTCATAATCTAGAGTAAATTTAAAGAAAACTCAGAGGGGTCAAGGAGTTTTTGGTTTTCGTCAAATATATAAAATATGAAAGAAAAGAAGGCAACGTTAGGTGAAGCCCGGCTGATATTCGCCTAATGGATCTTGAAATTAAATTATAAGCCGTTTACATTTCAAGGGCTAAACATGTAAATGCTATATTGTCCCATAGCCTCTGCTATTCACTTTCCTATCCTTTGTGTTTCAGGTGTATCGTGTGTATGACTATTATTACATGGTGGAATCTCGGACAGTGTACCCGAATCTTTGGCGGGTAGTCAATTTAATTCATATTTTATTAGTGTTAGCTCATTGGTTCGGTTGTTTTTATTACTTACTGTCGGAGACGGAGGGGTTCAAGGGGGACTGGGTCTACCCCTACCGGCCCGGCGAGTACGCGACGCTCTCCCGAAAGTACCTAGGATCAGTCTACTGGTCAACGCTTACTCTTACCACCATAGGAGACCTGCCGACGCCCGAAACCAACGCAGAGTAAGTGTATTTGACGATTTATTTTCTTAAGATAACCTGCCTCATCAATTTCTTTTTTTAAAAATATTATAATTTATCATTCACGACAAAAAGGGACCTTCAACCAGGAAGGAAATTTTTTCGAAGCATAGGGATGCTATCGAGATGGATCGAAAAATTGAGTTTTGGCCGAAACAAAAAATGGGTACTCACGCCTCGTTGTTTCTCCGTCAAAAGAACGTGACTTTATTTCTTATTTACTATGGATAAAGTAGCGAGAGGTGAATGGTCGATTTTCGATATTTCCTCATTTAAAACTATGGTGAAGAATCGATTATGAAGGTGTTCGTTGCGAACACCGTGTCAATCGACACTTTTTCATAGGCTTAAATGGCAAGTGAATCAATATATCGTAAAGCACATCACGAAACTGTATGGATACCATTAATTATGATATATTTTTCAATTTGATAGATAGACCACCAAAATTTTTGTAAGTTAATTTTTATGATTCCCTATTCCGTCGTTTCCGAGACGAAAGCACGTAACGTCATTTCATGGTTTCAAAACTGACTCAAGCCATTTAATGTCTTATGGGAATATCACAGTTTAATTTTTCATCAAAATTTCACTTATTTTTGTTTGTAGTCTGAGGAAAAATTAGTAAAATTTTCAGTCAGAAACACTCGATACTTTTCTAGCTAAAATGAAATTTACGAGTGCAACGTTGGAATGTAGTTACGTATTTTTGTACGGGAAATGACGATGTGACGGAAAAACGCTTTGACTTAACTCCGAAATCACTTCCCGGGTGAATTTTGCAAATCGTTTCTTTCGGAGTAATTTCACAGTGTTCTAGTCAAATCTCATGACGCAGTTTATGGAGAATGTTCTAAGATCCAGAAGTCATCACCTGATCGATCGCTTATCGAAACGTTCAAAGCTGTAGCGTTACCTCTCACCCATTCTAAATATTCGACGTGCTCTGTTCTGTATGTGATTCAGTTTGAAACTTTGAAGTTCGTAGTCAAGTCCGATCACCTTCGTAGGTTAACTTTGGCGCAAAATAGGCGCTCGTTTGTAAACAATCGGTGCCTCGCAAAACGAATGTTGACGCGGCGAAAAACAACAACAAACTCCTGTTCCCCTCAGCGCTTGGCCATTGTTTTGAGAACACATCATGAATTTGAATCGTTTGGTGGCGGGCTCCGATATTTCAAATTTGATTCATTAACCTTCTGCTCTTTGAAGGCGGGGGGTTCGTGGATTCACGGAAAAACAGAAGCAGATGAGCTTTAACAATAATAGGTAGGTTCACGGTGAAACGTAGGCAGCATTGCCGGTTTTCATTGTTAATTTAAGATTAGTTTGAAACAACAGAGCCAATAATTTCTCTAAATCAGAGCTTATAATATCGTTACTTTCCAGCCAAAGTATTACAAGCGCCATGCAACGTTTACAAATTCCTGCCGCCATTTTATTTTTTTACAGAGAAATTTTTTGATGAATCTGTTTGAAAATTTCACTGAATTTTATCGGCAGCACGAAGAAAATTCAGTGAAATTTTTGGACAGCTTATCAGCTTAATCGTGCAGCTTAATCGTACCCCTTTAATACGGAAAGGGAAAAGGTATGAAATTTCAAAGCAATTTAATCACCACTTACTTCTCCATTATAACGTTTTATTGTTAGGCTTTCCTCTGCCGTGCAACGCAAAAAATTATAGCAGGAAAACTTGTGTATCTTGGCACAACTACCCATGCACCTCAAATTTTCAGGTTAAATTCTTCATATTTTTTGCAAAAAAAATTCTGTAAGAACATTGTCCCAAGGTACACAAGTTTTTTTGCTATGATACATTGTTTCCAAAAATTTAAAATGACGTTTACGGCGTTTTTGCGTTGCGCGGCAGAGGGAAGCTGACAATAAAACATTATAATGGAGAAATAAGTGGCGATTAAAATGCTCTGAAATTTTATACCTTTTCCTTTCCGTATTGAGCGCGCGCGTGCGATTAAAAAGAACTGAAATCGGTCAGAACCGTTCAATTCCGGTTGTCATTGTTCGCGAAGTAGATTTTGCACGGATACGCTTCTAAAATAAACGAAAAATTATATTTTTACGGGGCGACGTGCCAGCAGTGGAGGGGGGGAGGGGGAGTGTAATTTAGGGGTGAAAAGCTTGGGCTGCGGCCCGGAAGCGCAAAATGAGGGACTGAATCAAGGAATAAAGCAGGCAGATTATCGATATCTCCCCATTTGAAGCTATGGTAAAGAATCGATTATTAAGGTGTTCGTTGCGCACACCCTGTTTATCGATATTTTTCCTCAGGTTCAAATGGCACATCGATCGATGTATCGCAAAGCACGCCACGCCACTGAGAGCAGGCGTATAATGGAATCAGCCCCGCATTAATTGGTGAATTAAATACCGCCGGCTTTTGCATCCCTCTTTCCTCCGTCTAGGGTAGGAATTGTAAAACGTACACTCGGTTCCAATTACGCGCCGTAAAAATTAGAAATTGTAGATCAGGTGTTACGAGGCGGGAAATCGAATTAATGACGATTGATACAGTTGCTGTATGCAGGAAAAAATGGGGGCAAACACCGTAAATTTCATCAGACGAACATTTTCTTATGACAAGACAAAATGAAAATAATTTTATCGCAGCCACCCAAATGATTTGAAATTATTCTAAAAAAGCAAGACAAGAAATTAATGATTGCAAGACACATCTTTGATGAAGAGGGATTAAAAATGATTAATTTCAATCTACAAAACTAAATTTTAACTTGAATCCGAGATCTTAAAATTATACTTTGATCCAAGAGTCTAGTCATTAGATACTTTGCTCAAGAAAAGGAAGTGTTTCGTTTTACTTTTAAAGAGCTATGAGCACGTACGTAACAATGAAGGCATCGAAATATTAGCTTTTCTCCTCTTTTTGCAAAATAGTGTCAAATTATTTTTGTCCTTTAAAATCATTGGCTCCAATCCGGACTTGGTCGCTCGATTAAGTACATACAAATGTATGATTGACTTTAAAAAAAGGTTATAGAACCAACGAACTCCCATATGGAGTTTAGGGCTCCTATTTTCCGAGACTTCATCCGTAGTCCATTTGATGTATAAGCTTTGCGAATGAACGAACTTTAATGAACTTCCCAGAAGAAATATGAGTAAAATAAGACTAAGTTCAAAGTTGTAAATGGTACTATTGGAGGTATCTGAATTAGTTTATCATCCAAGACAGAGTGACGCTGCTAGCATTGAACTACCTTAAATTCGAATTTTATAAGCGAGAACACGATATTTTAGAAGTAGAGCTGGCTTTGAATCGGGTCGTAAGTGATACATGGTCTGTTACGAATCTTCAGTAGAGGCATTCATAGATGTTAGAGACTATAGAACACTTACCCTCAGGCTTGAAATGTATTCACGGTGGATTTAGTCGTTCAGCAGCGCAGTCTGGCGTGAGGCACAAGAGGTATTTCCAGCCTGAAGGCCCGTGTGTGAACTGACCTCTTGTCATGAATATTCATGGCTACAGCGAGGAATAGAGTCTTGCGGATGACTGGGCAAAAGCTCCCCAAGCCGTGCAAGAACTGCTTTGTCGTGTTCACACTATTTGCCAGGTCTGCAGGATTTGACGAACAGCCCCTATGCTTTGTGAGTAAATCAATGTAAAATGTGACGTGTCGGAGAAAAAGGTAGAAAACTGTGCCCTTTGAATCCTTTAGACGATCTGATAAAGAGGAGAACAAATACGATTTGGCTGAAGCGATTTGGCGAAGTTGTAATTTATATCGCTTTTCCGTTAAAATCTTAGTTTTTGCTCGACTGTTTTGTGACTGACTTTAAGTGGGCTGCTTGAAGAATCCTCCGGATTATTCAGGAGGAAAATCTTAGTCTTCACAACTGTGGTATTTCAAGATAATAGCTGAGACTTCTTAGATCAAAAATGAACGTCTTTCAAATTTACCAGAGCAAAAATCCTCAGTTAAAAACTTTGATCCGTTTGTCAGCTCTCGCTCAATGCGCCTGTAACAAGATGCATATGCAATTTGAGGTACTTAGACGTTAAAATAGTCGTATCTTACTTTTACTAGTCAAGTGATTGTTTTATAATTTCTCTGATAAACAAATCCTATGAAACATCTAATTTACGTATGTACCTCCTCCTTTTAAGAAAAAGGTGGCTTTTTGCGTTTAATTTTCACACCCATTTTTCTTTAAACCTCGCTCTGAGGTTTGTTCACTCGCCGGCTGAAATTGCACAGCTGCTAAAATTAAAAAACGCTTGCAATCGAAAGGAAATTGCCTGAATTGCTTGAAATCTTGACATTACGAGAGCCTTCTGGATAAATTTCCCCCCTCCTTTTTTGTATGGATATTTAGTGAGTCACTAACATATTTAGACATTTTTCCATGGGCTTGTGAAGTATGTTGACAAAAAGCAATCGGATGAATTCTCCTAGGCAGTTCACGAGTGCATGCCATTTCCTTAAACGTAAGGCATTTTTTTTTAGGAACGATGCAAAAATCCTAGTTATTTTAAACAAATCTGTCGAAACAGGTGCAGAGATGAAAAATGTATCTTTTCAATTCGTTATTTATATGAGATGATGTAAATACATTACGTTCGTCACTTGCTGATTTTGAAGGGGTTTTCTTTTCAGTTTACATCAGCAGATAACGGTTAATTACTTGTACTTTTTGGCAAAAGTCTAACTAAGAAATTTTAAGACTAGATTTTAAGGCCTTTACTTACGCGATTTTTCACAGAAACATTAATCAAAATATTTTTACCAACGACCACTCCCAGGAAAATCAATCGAATTGTTAATTATTGGAGAGAGGACTAAGAACAATTTATTCCTAGTAAAGACTTGCAATATTTTCAGCTTCAAAATTAAATTTTAAGAATCATGGCCTTAACTTCTCACTTATCATAGAGTAGTATGCAGGTGTGTAGAGTTACGGCAATATCTGCATTCCATTTATGTCACTGTTTACTTAAAATAACTCAATTTTGACTTATGCTTATCCTCTTTTTACCGATAAATCTCTGATTTGATAGGACTTTCTCTGTGTGTAAATAGTTATTAGTTTTTTGCATTCTAGTTCAGTGGACGCCTCAGGAAATTGGTTCAGAAATACTTCGTTCAGAAATATACGGCGCAAGTCAAGATTACTTCGGTTTAATACAAACTTTGGGTCAGTATTTTCGTATATGTTCCTCTAAGCAAGCTGCGGACAATTTTCTTGAGTATTGAAAAACGGCGCGACGGGGATTTTTACAGGTTCTAAAATCTTAAGAATCAGGAAAAAATCAGCGTGGTAACTATGAAATACTTTTTTATGATAAATAATGGATTTCCAAAACAAAAATTATGTATAAAGGTATATGAATGACAGCAAGAAATTTTATCTGTAATAATCTCTTTATAGCTTTTCCCGTTTTTTTTCTCTTGGTTTTATTTTATTCATCGCACCCCTTTCTCATTTTATATTTTATTCCTTCGCTTAATCACCCATTTGCGCATTAAAATACATTGAGCCTACATGAAAAAACTCTTAAAATTAGTTTTGAATTGTTCATGAACACGTGGAGAGTTATTTTGTGGTCCTCAGGCACTCGATAATTGTGACCACAAAAGTTACAATCTTCAGAAGTGCGCACTCCAAAATTGATCAGCATCGTCCTTCTTTTATGTTTCCTATTGAAAGATTCTTCGTCGAAAAAGCGAACTTTGGTGACTTGAATGATCACTTCAATAACTCTCATAGTCCTCAACATTTTTCTAAAACATTGAATATATCATTGGCATCGTAGTCCTACCACTTAAACTATTAAAAAGTCGTGTAACAAAAATCTCTTAAAAAAGTCCCCTTCGAAATATTTCTAACATTACAAAAGTTACATTCCGACTTAAACTCTAATATTTGGCTCACTAAATACTGAAAATAAGTTTATTGGGTGATTAAATAAATATACTCTATGCCTAGGTTTCTGCAAAAAATCATTAAATACATTAAACAAAAAAGTGCATTCAATTTTGATCAAACACTATTTCAACGCACTCGAAGGAATCAAAACAAATGAATGATAAACGCATACACATCAGAATGTCTGTTACGAACATAATCTCTAATCCGAAACTTTTCTCATCTGCAATACATGATAAAACCACGCTGAGCGGAAAACTCTAGCGACTGATAATAAGAACGTAAGTAACTATGATATAGGCTCTATGCCCACTTCTCTTTACGCTCGTGAAACTTACAAGTTTTATCTCGGCGATCAGACTCTTGAAAGTTTCTCTGGAAGCGGCGCTGCTACCTGGTGCTAAAATTAACCTGATTCGCTGAGAGACCCCAAGGAGAAAGTCCTTCAATTCCCCGTTGTTCACGATAAATTCGAGGCCACGGCTCAGCAAGTCCACTACACCGACGAACTTAAATAAAACTAAAGTTTGAGCGCATTTTTCTCTGAGGACCGTAAAGTCCGTCGCTTAGTGCCTATCTCCGTCCGATATCCCCACACACCGGAAAAGCAAGAGGTGGGGGCTGATGAGGAGCTAATGTAGTTCTCCGCTTTCCTCCCCCGTGTTATTCTGCTCACATGCATAGATGCCAACCAGAGAAAGTATGTTTTAGATACATCGCGCTATCAATCTAGTCGATTTAAGCAAAAGTTAAATTCTGAGGTCAATGATGATGCTACTTGATGAGCAACTTCTTAAACATAAAATCACTTGATGATGACTGATAATTGACGAGGAGAGCACTTTCCTAAAAAGTTTTAGCAGGTTAGGTTAGGATTTCAAAGCCATTGCTTAACTCTTTGGTCACCAGTTATCATGAGGTGAATCTGAGCTTTGACTTTCGAAAGCACTTTTTACACTACAGTGTAGATAACAGAGACCGGGAATGACCAAATCAAAATGCATTTCATGCACCATAGGTTTTCAACTCTTCAATGAGCAAAAAGTTATGAAGTTAAGTAAGGAAAGAATGCGAGGTTAAGATATATTAGCCCCTGATATTAACTTAGCTGCGAAGAAAGCTTTGTTCTGAACGGGAGTGCACTTATGTTTTCTTAACAAAATTTTACATAGAACACAATCTGTGCGGCGATAATTACAAAAAGTATTTATCCTAATTTAAAGTTGAACTTATTTTTATCGGGCTGCATTATGTTGATGAAATTACCTTTCTCCCGATCACTTTTTATCCGGTTCTCAGTAGACGATAGCTATTTCGATGATATTAATCATCATCATCAGGTCTTCGACTTCGACTTCGGTAAACACTAGCAGTCACATCCTATATTGTTAAAATTTACTAAAATTTACTAAGATTTACTAAAATTTACTATAAAACACTTTAAAACTCGTGGGTGCACCCGTCGCGAACGCGTTCTTATCACCCGTTCGCGACGGGTGTACCCACGAGTATTTTAAAAGTGTTTATAGTCTGTCCCAGATACGAAGAGCCCTGGAAAATCAGAGTAATTAGCACTATTTGGCGGGTTGGGGTGCCTCGACCCTCGTCACCTGTCATCTCGTCGCCTCTCACATGCGTCGCACAGAGGGTCGCAAGCCACCTTGCGGCAACGCATACTCCCTTCGCATCTTTCCGCGATGGTTTTCCCCGAGGCCCAGGAGCGGATTCCCGGCGTAAGACGCCGACGCGCCGCAGAGCTCATAACCAACCCTCTGTGCGGTGCGGGGTTGGCTCGGTGATTAGTCGGACACAATAGAACGAACGATACCTTGCTTCTACATCGTGCAAATTATTCCGATTTTCCAGGGCTCTTCGTATCTGGGANGTGAATTGAAACCACCCGATCATGAAAACTCAATGCTCTACGTGATTCACATCGCGCGCTAGACGTTATCATACATGTCTCAGCGATATAAAAATCTGGGAACCTCAGTCTTGACGCTTTGGCTCAGCTATAGCAGATTTCTTATAGTTTGAACCACACATGGTGGGAAATGAACATTGCTCGATTGAGAAGCTTGCTGAAATCATTGTAGTGCGCGATTTGACTCACGTAGAGCTTTGAGTTTCTTGTGAGCGGGCAGTTCAAATTCCTCGTAACCAATGTGAAATGAAAAGGTTAATATCTTCGTTAGGAGTTGGTTTCAGTAATTTTCGTTGCGCGAATCGTGTTCTAAGTGAAATTTTCGTTAAGAAACATGTATCGGAATGCTTAAATTCGTACCTTGTCTAGTGATCCATTGTTGCGCAAATCATGTTGTACGTGGACTTTTGAAGAGGAAACATATAAGAATGCTTAAATTGTAAATTCGTACGTTGTCCCGTGGTCCAATGCGCATTGTTTTACTCTAAACATAGATAAATCGGTGCTCCAGTAATTAACGGATGACTGACATTTAATGAGAATGCTAAACAATAATAGGCAAGCAACCACCTTGGCCAGAAAAAATTGACAACAACGTGTCGAATGCTGTTACACAGCTGAAAAGGAGATACGGATTACTCCGGGATATGACGTTGCTTTCCTTTTGGCGCTTATTACCTTACTAATTTTTCAGTAACATCAAACTCCAAAGCGTATTTTCTTAAACTGCAAACTTTTTAATTAGGCACGATATCTCGCGTCCTAGACTGCGTTCCATTTTTAATTGTGTATATTTCTAAAGTGATTTAAACTTTCCTGACACGACATCGCGCACGTGTTCTCCTCATTAGGCGCAATCGAGTAATATGCATCGCAATTTAGAGTTTGAGTTAAATAGGTGTCTTGCCATTTTGTAACGTAGAATTTTAATTTATTCAAATCTTTATTACTCATTTACGCTGTCACTTCGAGAAGAGTATACTTTCAGAAAAATGCACACCTTAATAATGCAATTACGCTGCAAAGATGAGTAAAGTCGTTTCAACTGCAGACGGAAAAAATGCGGCTCCTTCGCACTGAAAACTCAATCATGATCATATTTTACATCTGTTTTAAAATAAACTTCAATCTATTGATCTATTTTTTAAGCATTATAACGTAAAATACTCCATTGATTGACGACAAAATTCCACCTCACTTATTGAAACGAACAAAAAAAAGGTGGACAACTTTCTTCTTATTATTTTAAAGAAGAAACATCATCACTACATGACAGTATTTCATTTTCTTTGTAAATCACTTTTTCTTGCCTTATTGACAAATCTTGCGTGATTATTTTCATTACATTAGACTTTCATTTAAAAAAAAAAAAAAATCTGTCACATCAATCACAACAAAATGAGGGTTATATCCATTAATTAATACAAATGAAAATGAAATAAAGATAAAACCAAGGAGGTTTTTAAACTTTCAATCATTTCAGCTCAACTCAAGAAATCTTTGATCACTCCCCTATAGAGGTAAAACATCTCGAAATAAGAGTAATAATGGTTTTGATCTGCATATTTATTGAGAGAATTCAACAAACCCTCTGAGTCAGTTATTCTCTTCAACTTAACCTTTAAAAGGAAGTTCTACGGATGTTTCGGTGCTTGAAAGTTAAATACCGGCGCCGAAATGTTTCGTACTCCTTTCGACAGTTCATCTTCGCTCAAAGTTTTTCTCCAAATACGAACTTCCGATCCTGCCTCGAGAGAAAGTCGTATGAATATTCGAATGTTGTCAAATCTCGTCATGCAGCATATTTATTTCTGAGGGGAAAAATGGGCGTTACCGTTGAAAATTTCAGATATGCTAAATTATATATTAAATAAGATTCTCTCGAAAATGCATAACGACGGTGAAACTACCAAACCACGTATCTCGTTTGCGGTGTTTAAAAATGTATGCTCACATTTTATTTTTTTGAAGTAGACCAAATCAATATCATTCCTTGAAATTTTCACAGAATTTTCTCTGCACGAAGAGGGAAAATCACAGAAATTTTCAAGACTGGACGTTAAGTAGTTTTTCATTTAAAAAATAAAGTATGGCAGGAAGTCTGCGACGTCGCAAACCGAGATACGTGGTTTGGTAGTTTCACCGTCGATAAGGCAAATTTTGGTAAGTTTCTCGAATAATTTGCATTTTCACAAGAAATTTCACAACGTCCGAATTTGCACGCGTACTACGTGTTACTAGAGTAATTGCTGGACAGTATTGACACCACTTGTAAGCGCTCCCCCATTCATCACTGACTGTGATGAAGGCAGGCAGAGGGACCCTCTAAGAGGGAGATAAGTAA